TTAGTTTTAACGATTTCATAAAAAATTTTTTATAGATTCCCTTCGTTTTGACAGTCAGCCAAGTTATCTGCCAGCTTTCGCCCTTTCTCTCTCTATATATCACTGTCTCGCTCTCTCCTCTTTCTCTATCGCTCTCTGTCTTTCTGTATGAGTTGGCTTTAGTTTGGCACGCCTTCCATCTGATTTTAATGATGACGACGATTCAGTTTGCGCTTTTTTTTTTTCTCTTATTTTTTTTTCGCAGCCGCTTATCAAAAAGAGAACGAAAAGCTATAAAGCTGCCAAAGAAGATGGCATGTGTGTGTGTAAGTGTGCATGCGTGTGTTGTGTTTGTGCATTTGTGGGCGAGTCTATCTAAAAATGCTTCGATTGAACGCGTATCTTCAAAGGATTGTTTGACTATAGCAAGTGCTGACTTCTATATCCTTTGCTACATACATACATGTATTCTTATATATAATATATCCATTTTCTTTTTATTAATTTGCACTTTTCTGACAGCTGGGCCGTCGATGGGAGTGGGTGGGTGGGTTGACGGTGGACGTTTCTCTTTGCACTTATCGACTTGAAATTGAACGAAAGTAAATATTTTTGCAGTTGCAGTGGAAAAACAGCAGCAGGCATGCCTAATAAAAATCATTTTCACAGTCCCTGCATTACCCACACAGCCAACCACAAGCACATGCACCCACACCCAGACACACACACACACACACACACTCACAGATATATACACATACACATTTACACAGTCGCTGATGTGGTTTGCAACAGCATGCAAAAATATTTGCGCTTGGCTGACGTCGGCGGCGGCTGCTGCTGCTGCTTCACGAGTGCTGCAGCGGAAACGGAAACATGACACCTGCGCAGCCACGCATACACACACACTCACACACAGTGCACAGCAGCAGCAGCAGCAGCAGCAGCGGCGGCGGCAGCAGTGCAGCAAACAAACAAACAGACAAACAAACCGAGTCGAGATAAACAGGAACTTATTATGCGAGCGCATGCAACATGGCAAGTTGCAAGAGGCGCTGTTCGGATTCGCTACAACAGCCGCATGTCACTAAGTACGTGTGTGTGCGTATATGTGCCTGTGTGTGTCTGTGTGTGTGTGTGTGTGTGTGTGTGTGTGTGTGTGTGTGTGCTTTATCTGCAATTACAATGACAACATGCAGCGACGGCTTGAAGCTTTGCTCGCGGTTTGTATATTGTTATGGTTGGCAATTGCCAGCAACGCCACTGACCACTAACCACGCCCCCTAACGTGTCAACTAAGCCCACACACACACACACATACACAAACACCCACACAAATGAGCGGCATGTTTGCACGTTCTTCACACCTTGACCTCAGCAGCGGCAGAAACAGCTGCAACAGAGAAAATGAAAAAAACAAACACCAACAGCAGCAGCAGCAGCAGCAGCAACAAAACTGTGGCCTGTTTTTAGGTGCTGGGCGCTGTTGTTGAATTGCGAGACTTTTATTTTGGTTGCGAGCCCTAAAAGCCAACCCGACACCACACGAACCACCCCACACTGAACCCCGCACGAGCCACTGCCTGACTGGTGGGCCGAGGTCGCCCAAATAGCTTTGTTATGCTCGCAAATAATTTAGACATTTTGTGTGAATATTTTCGGCTGCTTTTTGTTTGCAAGCTGATAATAAAACGCAAGCACACACAGAGAGAGACACACACACACACACACACATGCATATGTCACTTGGGGCAACTACAAAAACTAAATTTTTGGAGCCAAACAAACAACGCATGAATATATATTCAAATTAATGCATTTCATCAACAATTTGCACAGCCAACGGCAACTCTGGCTGCCACTCAAAACTCTGCCAAATGGCAAGCCGGCTATAGCTGGCAGCCTGGCAGCTGAGAACTAAGAGCTAAAGATATCTAAAACTAAGTTTACGAATGCAAACGCACTCGAGTGTGAAAATGGCCACGAATATAGATGTGCAAGCCATAAAAAGCAGACATCATGCACAGCACAAGAAGCAGAAGAAGCTCAAGTAAATGCAAAAATTTGCATTCCATATGAAAATACAGCTCCTAATCCCATGACTCTGGCAGCTGGCACAGCGCAACCTGGCCAATATCTGGTTATAGGAGCCATTATTATGGACCGATATGAATAGAGCATCAGCATCGAACTATGCAAATGCATGCAAAGCGCTACAAGTGCCACTTCTAGCCAATACAATTATACTCAATACTTCATTCAGCAATCACAACACAATACTTTCTAGCTGCTTATATGTACATTTGTCTATATTTCTACGATAAACATACATATATCTTGAAGGACTGCAAGTTAAAACACAGAAAGTTTTGAACATGGATGTCAACTTACCAGACGCAGTTAAAGCTTGCCGACCGATTGTTGCAATAGAATCCATACATATAGTAGTTGGATCGTGCAGATAAGTTGCGAGTAGAGCGAGTCTCGAAATTGCTGAGTTTGGTCAAGATATATTGGAAAACCGAAGAGTTTTCCATAAAACAACTCGAAAATACGACCGATCGTGCCTTTGGCAGCTAAATAATATAGTGATCTGATCCGTTCGATTCCGATTATGTACTGCCTGCAACAAAAAGACAAATATTAACTAGACTGTTCATACTTTAGTTGCTCGGTGACGTTTGCTTTTATGCGTTACATATTTGGTGACAAAATTATATTTACCTCAAGAGGAGAAAATGTAGGTATTAGACCCACACTCTAGCCCACACTCCTCAAGACGAGTAAAGATTTGCATATATACAGGGAAATATCTAGAGTGTACTTAAGATCAGAGTAGACAACATTCTGTCGAGGCTTTTTTTTTGTAAATAACTGTCTCATATTTTCAATGAGGGCTACAATCTGCAAAAGGGGCTATTAGGAGGCCACATTGTATCGCCAGTTCCATACAAAATATTCGAAATACTCACATAAATTTATATACATAAATATATGTACATATGTACATATATATATTGTGTATATTTTTTTCGTTTGCTGCAGGCGCTGAAATTTATTTTTCTATTATATCCGTTTTTGGCCAAAAAGAAAATGCATATTAAACAATGCATTTGCATATGCATGAGTGTGTGTGTGTGTGTGTGTGTGTGTGTGTGTGTGTGTGTGTGTGTGTGTGTGTGTGTGTGTGTGTGTCTGAGTGTGTGTGTGGCTTTTGCCAGCAGGCATGCATGCAGGAGTTAAGAATGTTGCAGTCAGCCGAGCACACACTGTAATATACCCGGCATGTTCATAATTCCCAAAAATGCGGCATATGTTGTTCAAATAAATATTGAAGTTAAGTAAGTTCAGAAATCTTTATTCCGACAGGCATTAGAATGTATAAAGCAGCATAATACATTGTCCGATCGCTTTGTGAATATATATATATACACATATTTCATGCTTTGAATATACCCAACAGGGCACAGGTAGATGGGTAGTTGCAAGTCTGACTCCAGGCGCTTACCAAGCCAAGCCAAAGCGGGCGCATATTCGCGTCGTTTATTTGTGCTAAATATGGGCGTGGCTAACAAATAGTTGATGCGCTGCCCCGCACACACACACACACACGCCCCTCCTTCTTTGCCTCGTCAACCACCTCGCCCTTTCCGGCTGGCACTGCCGCAATTCACTGGCTGCTCGTGTTTCATGCATTTTTAAGCAGCCATTTGTCAAGCGCGTGAAAAGTGTTGCCTGCTTTTGGGCTCACACACACACACACACACACACACATGCACACACTGACTGGCTGGCTGCCTGCAGCTACTGTCTGTATGTATGCTTATGAGTTGGGCAAAACTTTTAATTAACCAAAATTGCGGCTACACACCAGCCACAAAGATTGTTATTTTCTTTTTTTGTACAAAGCCAAAAAGAAGCATTTACCTGCTGCAAAGTCGCTTTGTCATGCTCAAAAGTTGCAGAACTTTTGACAAGCCTACACAAAACAAAAAAAAATATGTCACAAAAAAATAGAGGAAACGTGAAAAAACTGCATGAAAAGCCTGAAAAAGTTTTGCCTGCGACAGGCAAAGTACTTTAGGAAGTTGCAAGTCAATTCAGCGCTAGAAGCGACTCAAAAGATCAAAATCGCGCCAACTTCTGCACGTCATGTGTGTGCTCTTGTATGTGTGTGTGTGTGTGTGTGTGTGTGTGTGTGTGTGTGTGCATGTAGCTGACGTCGTAGGCAAACAAGCTGTCAGACAGACAGAAAGACAGACGACAGACGAGCAGTGATAGGGCAACTCCTCATTCGAGTGGAATATTGGAGTCCCCCTCGGGCTAATGACAGAAATATGACGAAAAATAAACATTTTGGAGTCTGACACAAGCTGAGAGGCAATTACTTAAAGTTAACAATTTAAAAATGTTATGCACTCATACTCGTACAGTAAACTCTCTTTTAACGAGCACTGTTACTAGGTGGAGATTATTGCTCAATCAGTCCACACACATGCCTCCTCTAATAAGCGTACACTCCTGCCGGGCGGCCAAAAGCTACCCGACAGTCGCAAATTTTTCATATTGACAGACATTTTTTATATTCTTTTAAAGGGTATTACAAAGAGCACATCACATTTTCCAGCTAATAATAAATACGGCAAACTTCGTGCATTGCCGAACTCTCGCCGTGGAAGTTAAAAACGCGATATGAATGTATTTAATATTTTTGGTGCAAAAGTTAATTGTATTTGTTTTTTTCTACTTTCTACTGGGGCCCTGTGTTTTTATCCCAACTAAAAGTGGTAAATACCTCATGGAATACCCTATAAGTCAATTTTATGATGTATTTAATTTAATTTCATTTTACTTGTAATTTAGTTGAAAATTTAATAATAAATCCCACAGCTTTTGCTTGATAAACATATTCACTCATGCATCGCTTTCACTCTTTCTCGTTTTCTCTCTCTCTCTCTCTCTCTCTCTCTCTGTCTCTCCCACTGTTTTTCTTGTGCTTTGGTCTGTCTATGACTTTGCAGATTCCGAACTAGAAGAATTTGAGACGCCGGCTCGTTACAGACCAGACTCGCTGAGCGCCCTGAGTCGGGCCACCCGCTTCACAGAGGACGAAATCAAACGAATTTATCGCGGTTTTAAGGCTGAATGCCCCACGGGCGTCGTCAAGGAGGATACCTTCAAAGTGATCTACTCTCAGTTCTTTCCACAGGGAGGTTCGTGCGGTACAGTATAATTTGTTTCGTTAACATTTGCGGCTTGACCTAGTGAACTGCTAAAGCTTGCACGCATGCCACCCGTTTTTCGTTTACTTCCATTATCGAATACACAGACTTTTGATTACAATTGCGATAATTGATTAATTACGATAACAATTCCGATAGCGATATATGCGTATTGCTTGTAGCTCAAATTGTGTATTAAGATCTCATTTAAATTTAAACAAAATTCAAATTTTAAATGCATAAGCAACTGCGACTCGTTTTCAATATTGATCTTTATTTGATATTGATCTTTATTTTTAGTAGTTATGTCTATGTGTGTATATGCTTGTGCACATTGAACAAACGTATAATTAGTGAAACCATAAAAAACACTATCTACAAGTTTTTAGCCTAACAAATTTCATCTCATTTTTTGTTTGTTTTGAGCTTAGAGAAACTTCAATATTATTTTAATTCTCAATTAAATAAACATAAATAATAATGAAATTTTTTAAGGAATTAGAAGAGGGTCTCTCCGTATGTTGAAAAAGATAATAATAATAAGGAAATGCCACTTTATCGATTGCATATAACATTTGTATACTCTATAAAATAATTTAGGTAGGCAAAAGCGTGCTTGAATATCTACGTCCGATTTGTCCAAAATTTAAGAACTCAAATATGGCATTTAAATGATTTTGAAATACCCTGGATCTGTTTATAAAAAGATTAAGTCAGGAAAGCTTCAAATACAAATTGATCTACATTCAGAAATTTATGGGGAGCCATCGATAAATATAATAAGATTATCATGTTCTACGTATGCTATATGAGAATATATACACAGTTAAAACTTCAAATATATTTTTTAGTTCCCGAGTCCGACGCTTTCATCCAGACGGGCAGACAGATGAAAATTTCTAGACCGACTCAGCTCATCGTCCTGATAAATATATACTATCGTATCAGAGATGTTTCCTATTTAGTGCTATATACATATGTACCTTTTCTCAAAGCTATTATACCCTAAATTAAGCCATTTTCAATCGAAACAGGGCATAAAAAACCTGTTCTATAATATATCCGCAGGGGCATTCATATAATTTATATATATTTTTAATAAATGTTTCTTCACATTTTTATTTTTCTTTTATTATTAGAGTATTAGAAAAAAAGTGTAGAAATGCAAGCATTACATAAAAATAACATCGTATATTCCTATAAATTGCGTGTGCTTTATAACATATTCAGTTCATAGCTAAGCCATTTCATTCAAAACTGGCAACAGGCATGTGAGCAGGCCAAGGGACAAGCCAAAGCCGAGTCTTTATCAATTTTGAATGCCAAACTATCCGAAACATAATCCTTGACATGCCCATTAATGTTCTGGCCCAACCCATAACTGTGGCCATCAGCTCACTTGACTCTTATTGTTATCTATTATCAATCCAGTGAGCATCGAGCATCGAACATGAAGCATCGAGCAGCGTCTGGATGGCCCGCATACAAATGAAGCCCGCAATTGGCTCAATGGCACCCGTTGCTATTGCCAATTTGATTGTCGGCTTCATAGGCATTGACGATGGCCAGAGGAATGGCAGCTTAATGCTGTCAATGCCGGCATGTACACCCATGTATTATCGTTATTATTGGCTCTTTTGTCAGTGGCCAAAACAAAGGCCAATGCCAGCTATGGACAGCAGCTGCAAGGCATTGGGGAAGGGGGTGGGCATTGATAAATAGATGCACAGCAACATGAACTGAGGGTCCCAAAGAGTTGTGCGAGTGAAAGGCGAATTTGCTGTGCCTTTGCTTAAGCATTAGGCCCCCAGCCCCCAGCCCGAGCCCCAGCCACAGTCCCAGTTCGAGTCGCAGGCAGGGCGAATACGAGCGGACGGATCCTTGGCTTGTAAAACTGAAATGTTGAGAGTGCAAATTAGCAAAAGTATAAAAAGCAAAATCATGTTTCACAAGTCGCGACTGGGCTGAGCAGGGCCGGCGAAGGCAGCAGCCATTCAAGTTTAACCCAATCCACCCACTTGACCTCGTTTGTATAACAAGTAAATTTGCTCATTTACTTTTCACCACGCGGCTTCTACCCATAAATAAAAGCCTTGCCACAAAGCATTCCAGGCTGCGTCGCGCCAAATTGAAGCGTGGATAATGAGCAGCTGGACACTAACTAAGTAACTGACTGACTGACTGACTGACTGACTGACTGACTGACTGACTGACTGACTAACCGACTGACTGGCCAAGCAATTGAGGGACGGCCTAACTAAGCCATGCACCAAATGGAAATATAAAAGAAAATGCCCAACCCTCCACATACACAGGCTGACTCGTCGCTGGCAATGGACAAGCATAAGGGTTAATGCAGGGCGCCGTATAACAACCGATCGACCGATATTCCATATATCTTTGTTATTGCTCTAATCCCAAAGAAGTTATTTGACCTTTCAAGAGTTTTGGATTATAGCAAATCGTTTTATCCAGTCTGGAAATTACACTGACGATAAGAAAAACTAGCAGAAAGAAACTTACGACAGTTAAGTGTTAACTACGAACCGAATTTTAACCATTTTGGGAGAAAAGAAACGTCCAACCGCAACAGATTTTCCATTAAAAAAAAATTAATATTTCAATTACCTCCCAATATTAACTTTTTGAGAATTGCAAAAATTTGTTTGATATCCTTGGTTAGAACAAAATATGCGCTCTTAGTTAATAATATAACCTTCTACTTACTTCACGGACACATAACCTTCCAATTTTTTTCATTAAAAACAAATTTGCAACTAACTTTCAATTTAAGTAGCACTCCAATATTTGCTTTAGCTACCCAGTGGTCTAATGTAGGCCAGAACCAGTGCAAAACATATGTAGAAACTATGGAATCCACTTTGACTACACATACTTGTGCATGCATGTAGAGAGAAATATGTATACCCGTACGCTTGTGTGCTCCCCAATAAATTCTACTTAAAATCCATGATTGTGTAGGTTTTATTTTTTGGTGTTGTTGCTGTTGTTGTCTGTACTGAGACGACGCACGTCATGCAGGAATCCCCTCTGGTCACGACGAACACAAAAAGAGAGAAATATTGCTACACATGTTTCGCACTAAATTATTATAATAAACTTATTTGGCTGCCTTTGAGAGAGAGAAACTGGGCAAGAGGAACATGGAACGGGGAACGGGGAACTTGAGCCCAGACAAAAACATGGAACATGGTAATGGATGTGAGGACTTGGAGCAACATGGGCCTTGAGTTGGAAGAGCAGCTTGAGCATCACATTGGTTAAGGGCAAAGACAAGGACGAGAACGAGAACGAGAGCGAGGGCGAGGGCGAGGGCGAGAACAAGGGGCGGAGGCGTTGCTGTAGCGGTAAGCTGACAAACAAGCATCGGCAGCGACAGGCGGAAATGCTTGTAAAAAAGCGTAGGGAACACGAGATATGCTACGCCTTAGCTATCTGATGAAAAATAAATAATGAAATCATTTTTTATTTTGATAAGCCGCTTTGCCACTCCGTATACTCCGCAGCCACGATGTGAGTCGAGGCGCAACCTAATACGAGGCGACAGCCAAGCCAAAAAGAAAAAGAAAGTACAGCCAAAAAATGGCAAGAAAAAAAACATCATCATCAAAGTTGGTGATTTATCACTTTTGCTCCCGGTTCCAGTCTCGGTGCCCGTCAGAAACTCAAAAGCCGCTGCAGTTGCCCGCCAGCGTTCTATCTGCGTGCGCTCCCCCTAGTATCCCCCCTCCCTCTCATTTTTCATGTGCGCTTTTCCTGTTTTTCGTTTTGCGAATTTTCAGCGCAAATTTCATAACAATTTTTACATGACACATTTGCAGTCATTTTGATTTGGCCAAAGCAAAAAATAAAAACACATTTTTGACAGCAACAATGACAACGACAACGACAACAACAACAGCTGCTGCCTTTGCCTTTGAGCTTTGACCTTGCCCCCGCATTGTGGGCGCTGTGTGGGCGTGTCTGTGCGTCATGCGTCATAAAAACACATTAAGTATCAAACGACGACAATAAACTTTGACAAATACATTTTTGGCAACCCCAATGTGCCACAGACCTACGCCCCCCACAATTGCCGCGCTCCCCTCTACAACGGCCCCCTTCCACATGGCATAAAGGCGAAAACCGCGCACATCAATAAAACTGCTCTTTGCAACACATTTGCCCGGAGATGAGCGAGTTTCCATTTTATGAACTGCATTTTTGTTTCGACTTCGGGAGGAGGTGTAAAAAGTGTGCACCCATAAAGAGAAGGATTCGAACTCGAGCTGCGGGCTGTTGCACTCGTTGTTGCAGCTGTAAGTGGAGCCTGGTACCGAGTAATAATCATAAAAAAAAAAGAAACGTACAAATGAGCGGCTGCTGCCTGGCAATAATCTAAATGTAATGTGATGGCCAGATAAGGATATTTGCAGCAAGTGCCCGACGGTTGGGGGTTGCGCAGTAAAACTGGCTTTAAAGAGACCTCGAGCGTACATTTGCTTAACTGAGCTCTTTCTGTGCAGGCAGGCAGCACGTGCCTCAACAACAATACGTTGATGTGACCAGCAAATACCCTATAATAAGTTGTAGGCCAATCAGTTGCACACACCAGCGGGATTAGCCTTATTTGTCCGGGTCAAATGTTTTATTCTCAATTGTTAACTAGTCAAAATGATTTTGGACCCGATTGAAAAAGAAAGAAAAACACATTTGCTTGTACAACCTGTGAGCCCCAATTCCGTTGAAGAATTGTGGATTTTCTTCGAGAGATCTATCAAGAGAAGTTCGGAGCAAATTGCAAAAAAGAAATATAAAATAGTTGAATACAGCATCTTTCCACGCATTTTCCGATCTTTTTTAAGTAGGGCATTTAAAATAAATGTAAAGCCGATCGGACTCAACTTAAGCTTCCACACATATAGCCTTTCACCCTCATTTTTCATTCAGGACGGTGGATTAGTCGACAAAGTGTGTAAAAAGCCTTAAAATAATTTTAATAAAATAAATAACTTCAATTATGAATGTGAAGCTAATTAGTTGGCAATAAAGTTTTAAACAAACGCTTCAAAAAAAAAATATAAAAAAAAACGTTTCCCATAAATTTTTCACATTTGCGGGAGGAATTGCTCACCGTTTTAGCGTGCAATTACATCACATTATTACAGTAAAACTTTCAGCGAGGCAGTCAGTCAGAAAGTCAATCAACCAGTTAATCAGGCAGACAATTATTCAGTCGGTCAGTCAATCAGTCAATCATTCAGTCAATCAGTCAATCATTCAGTCAGTCGGTCAATCATTCAGCCAGTCAGTCAATCAATCATACAGGCAGTCAGTCAATCAGTCAGTAAATCAGTAAGTCAATCAGTCAGTCAGTCCATCAGTCCGTCAATCAGTTAGTCAATCAGTCAGTCATGTTAGTCAAGAGGAGAAGTTTATTATACATAACCGTTGCCTCACGCAAAGTATACCCATACGTTATATTGCGCATACAGGATATTTGGTATCTGGCCCAACACACATGTGGCATAATTTGCTGAACATTTGACAACTTATCAGCACACTCGCACACTCTCAGAAAGACACACAGACACACACGCAGACGCACACACATAATTAGCTAAACACATTCTTCGTCAGACAGCGACACGAGGGGTCGTCGCTAAGAAGTCGAAAGTCCCGTTTCGGGCCATGTTGACTTTTTAGCGAGAAACAAAAACTTTGCGGCTGACAAAATGAAAGTTTTGTTGCAACAACAGAGTGTAAACAGTGTTCATCGAAGGACAATGGGGACAACGGGGTCGGACCCCCATACAAGTTTTGACCCAACAATGACACAGCAGCAACAGCAGCGGCATCATATGCCCATCTTTTTGCTGGCATCCCAACCAAACACAAAACTTCACTCTCACTTTCACTTGAGCTTTTACTTGCGCTTTCGCATTTACTCTTACTTTCAGTTTTCGGCTATGTTTCGCATTCATATGCTCATTCCCATTTACATTTAACATCTTCCATTTCCACTGTTCCCAGGTTCTCGCATAGTTTATCGATGACAAAGCACTTGAAAATTAAATCTCTTGTATATCTAATGCGCCTGTATATGTATCTATATATTTATATTTGTATGTGTGTATGTGTAGAGTTGACAGTTATTGTAAGCACGTATAATCAAAAGTTTTCAACTTAAAAGTTAAAACCCTAGACTATTATGTCTTGGCTTTTAACAGCTGTACACTCACTTTTAACATAGTTTTTCTTTCTCGTTTTCATTTTCAACAAAAAACAACAACTACAGCAAATCCAACATTATACGCACATTATGTATTTAATACCCTGGATCAGGATCACAGCGGCATTGTCAGCTTTGAGGTAAGTTATGCTAAATATAATTATATATTGTACTAGCGGGTATAATCCGGCCTTGCCCGTGGCACGTATGTTATAAAATCAATGTTCTCAAACAAATTTGAAATGATTTTGAAACTGATCGGACGGTAAACAAATATCTTTCATACAAACGTTTTCCGCCAATTTACCACTGTTGCGAGTGGAATTTCCCAAATCGCTGAAACACGTATTTATTAAGTTCTTATGTAGAGCTTTGAAAATAAGTTTGAAGCAAATCGGACACTATTTAAAACTTCGCAAAAAAAAAATCTTTGAGTCGCATTCAACCCGAAAAAGTTTGGATTCTGCGAAAAGTGTGAAACACGTCTCAAATGATTTTTCGTATAGATCTTTGGAAACGAATTTGAGCGCGAAACGTCACCCACCAAATTTTTGACCTCCATTTCGACCAAGGAGGAACGGATTTTTCGAAAAGAGTGAAACACCCCTCAAATGAATTTGAACAAAGATCTTTGAAAATAAGTTTGAGGCCGATCGGATGGTAAACAAAAAACTATCATACAACCGTGTTCCGCCAATTTACCACTGTTGCGGGTGGAATTTCCCAAATCGCTGAAATACGTATTTAGTAAGTTCTTATGTAGAGCTTTGAAAATAAGTTTGAAGCAAATCGGACACAACTTAAAACTTCACCCAAAAAATCTTTAAATCGCATTCCTCCCGAAGAAGTTTGGATTCTGCGAAAAGTGTAAAACACGTCTCAAGTGATTTTTCTTATAAATCTTTGGAAACGAATTTGAGCGCGAAACGTCACCCACCAAATTTTTTACCTCCATCGACCAAGGAGGAACGGATTTTTCGAAAAGTGTGAAACACCCCTCAAATGAATTTGAACAAAGATCTTTGAAAATAAGTTTGAGGCCGATCCGATGGTAAACAAAAAACTATCATACAACCGTGTTCCGCCAATTTACCACTGTTGCGGGTGGAATTTCCCGAAACCCCGTCTTAACGTGCCCCTACATCACATAAGGTAGCCACAGTGAAAATTTCAGCTTCCTAGCTCTTACGGTTTGGGCTGTGCGTTGATCACCAATCAGTCAGTCAGTCAGTCAGTCAGTCAGGACAAACAGTTTTATATATAGAGATGAATGTCGGGCGTATTCATATATCCTTAATGAGTATATTTTAATCCATTTTACACTAAAATAAAACTCAAGATACTCTGTAGCTAGCCGATCGGGCATTTATAGCTATCCTTAATGAGGGTATATTATATCTGTTTATATAAAAGTAAACTTAAGATACCCTGCAGCTAGCTGTGTTTCTTCTTAATTTCGATTATGGGACTATCCATACTATATGTAGTTAATTCTTGAATAACTTCGTTGTTTATTGTCCGATCGTTTTAATATATTCAAGGCTTTAATGCAGCATTCAAATGTGTTCACGTACCGAAGCGCAAGCCTTTACTGCTTTTTACAATTTGTGAAAAAAAATAAACTCCTTTATATATATGCCTATCGATATATTATGCTTATCGATCTCACGTAAATCTATTTGTATATGAGTGATAGAGCGACTGTGTATATGCAGCAGGGTAGCACTCCTTGAGTTATAATTTGGCCAAGCACGAGTATTTCATTCCGACTCGTCATGGCAAAGATTGCGCCAGAGTTTGCGGTCAATAAAAACAATTTTAGGACGGTCTGCAATGATGTTGCCATAAGTTGGGAACAGTTTAAGTGCAACTTTAGCACAGGTCTTAAACGCTACAAAGTGGTTAAGCAGCAACCGAATAGGTTAAAGTTAGCGTACGAGTTTTAAAGTGCATGAGATGCCCGAAACAGAAAAGTCAAAAAGTTGTGGCCAATTTTTAATAATTCATGGTAAAACAGCCAAAGGACAGATTTAATTTTGGACTTGTAAAGAGTTATGCACCAAGTTAATGTTGGCAAATGGGATATTTGAACATTTTAATGCGCCTAAGCACTTGCCCAATAATTCAATTTAATATACTTAGTTGTATACACTCGCTCTCTTTCTCTCTGTCTCTCTCTTCCACTCCCCCTCCCTCTTACTCTGGCCAGCTGGACAATAAGTGGGCGAAAATTTCGCTGTTTTGCTTAATGCTTGTTGGTTGGGTGGGCTCAGTGGTCAGCCAAGTGAGACGGCAGCCAAAGCATCCATAACCCCCAACCCCCAAACCCCAAACCCCAGCCCCAACATCGGCAACAAAAAGCGCTTAAGTACAATGAAATTACTTTAGACATTTTAAGCATAAAATATGGCTGACAGTTGAGCTGAAACTCCACGACACAGTCGAGTAGCATCATAAGCGACTTGCTTCACGCTGCCCACTGACTCTGTGTGTGTGTGTGTTTTGAGGGGGTGGTTGAGTGGTTGGCGCCAAATGATGCTGCAAAATGCTTCAAAAGCGAAACAACAACGCGAACTCGCAGCCGCAGCCGCAGCCGCAGTCTGGGCCAAGACGCGTGTAGAGCAGCTCATTTAGCTGCGGTTTCGTAGCAATGCCCGCAGCCAGCAGCCAGCAGCAGCAGCAACAACAACTGGGAAAGTCCTTTGGTTAGATGTCAGCGCTCAATTAAGTGCTATATGCTACAGCTTCAAGTTTGTAATAAGCAAAGTTCTAGTTAAACGTCTAAATTCTGCGTATGGGACAAGTATTTCAGCACTCTATTTTAATTTATAAATCTCTATGGCCTTATCGTCAGTCAATTCCACTGTGCTTTACTGTAGCGCGAAAGTTTGACCAAGTTTTTAGCGCTGAGAAATGCGTGTCATTGATAAGGGGCGAAAACTTTAGGACTAAGGACTATGACAGACAGCGACTGATTTACTTTAGAAAAGAAGCGCTCAAATTTGCGAGAGATAAATACGAACAAGCTCAACAGACAGCTAAGCATACATATATCTCTCTCACTTTCTCTGTCTTTCTCTATAAATAGTACATACAATTTTATTAAAAGTACAGACATTTTCACACTTTCCTGCTACAAACGCTGAACTATTTAAGAACTGTCATTATTATTGTTTAAGCTGGAACACATTTCAAACTTGTATTTTAACAAACTATCTACAGTTGTGTATATTAGACATGTTCCCAAAACTGCGCTAGCTGTCAGCAGTTGCGCTTCTCTTTTTCAGCTTCACACTTTAAAGAAATTCATTTTCTTTTTGTTTCTCACAAATATTTTTGTAACTTGCAGACTCTTTTCTATCATGCGGATACTTTTACTTGTTGTGAATACTTTTATCTCGCAGAAACATTTGTATTTCATAGTTTAGCATCTCACAGACACTTTGATATCCCAGAGCTGCTTTTGAATCTTACTAAAGCCTTCGCATCGCATAGACACTTAGAATCCCGAAAACTCTTTTGTATCTCGCAGATACTTTTCTAGCCTACAGAAACATTGTTTTGCATAGACCCATTATTCTTCCATGGATATTTTGTGCATCACAAAAATATTTTGCCCTCTCAAATACTTTTACTTCTCCAAAACACATTTATCTCTCTGCTACATTTTTAGCTAAAAGTTAGATTAGATTAGATTAAATTAGATTAGATTAGGTTAGATTAGATTGTACTTATGTTTATATTTATTTTGTATAGATATTTTTGATTTCGCAATGCCTTCGTGTCTATACGACACTTTTCTATCATGTGGATAATTTTAATTGTGAGTTTGTATATTGCAGATCATTTTGTATCTCACAGATTTATTTCTATCTTAGTAGTCAGTCTTGCAGTCAAGCATATGACGGCAGTTTGTGCCCGACTTGAGACTTGTTTAAAGAAATTAAAGATACTCTGTACCCAGTGCGAGGCTGTGCTTTAAACAATTTCAACAAACTCATATGCCCTTTCTTACACAATATCAACGGGTATACAATGCAGCAAATAGGTGGGGAGCTCTATTAATACTGTGAGGCAAGCGGTTATAGCCATATTATGTTATCTGCCAGAAACTATGTTTTCAATCTAATAATAAACTAGGTTACTTTGCGAGGAGCAACTCATGACTTTCTGGTTCCATAATCTGCCAATAGCATGTTCAACATAGTTAACAAGTGTGAACGCAATTTTGGGCATTTCAATTGCAATTTTGTGTAATGTGCAGCTGCCAGAAACTGAAAAAAAGAGGAAGACAAAACAGTCATTGGCAGTTCCATTTTTATTTTCATTTCCATTTCCATTTTATTTTCCATTGCCTACTTGCCGGCGCGGTCGTTTTAGGTAGTTCGCCTGCGGCCAAAGTGGAAATGGCAGAACGAGCGAAACAAAAGCCAAAAAATCAAGTGAAATGTCTCAAAATTGAAATAAAACGCAGCACAAGTGGGTGACAAGCGCTGCGGGGGGTGGTGCGGCTGTCGTGGGCGTCGCTGCTGCAGTCGCCTATCTCAATCTGATTTCGCGTGCGGTGTTCATGTAGCTGTCGCTGTTGCAGTTGCAGTTACAGTAGTTGTTGCTACTGCTGCGGCTGCTGCTGCTGCTGCTGCTGTCATTGTCAACATTTCTATTGCAGGCGAACAAAGCGAAAATAAGAAGAGAAACGGAAATCAAATAAATATGCGCATGCAAAACGTGGCAAATGGCAATGGTGGCGCTTGAAGAGGCCGTTGGGCGGAAAGTGGGGAGAGGGAGCGGGGGGCGTGGCCAGCAGCACTCTTCGCATGCAAATTGCAAATAATTTTACAGTTTTGTTCGCTGCCAACGTCCGAGCATGAACTTCACTTCCGGACCAAGAGCCACGCCTATTGGTTATGCCAAATATGAGGAGGGTTGCAGAGGGTTTCCGGGTTTGGCGGATGGGGGGCTAACTGCGACAGCGCCCAGCACAATGGCAGCACGTGTTGGCTGGCAACGCCATTGAAACGATGAATTATGGCGATTTTAACGCCAACGCTCGCTAGGGGGGAGGGCGGTGAGGGGGGGTGACCAAGCCAAGACACAAGTGCGATATAAAGCAAAGACAGGCCAAACAAAAGGCAGCCAACTGCTGCATTTATACAGCCAGGCACACATACACACACACACACGCACACACATAAACACACCTATACACAAACAGACACACACACACATATAGTAGCTACTGGGAGACAGCCGCTTATCTGGCAATGGAACAAGGCCCCTCGCGAGCTTCGCCTTTGCCTTTTTGCCTGGCCGCCATTTTCGTTTGTGAATAATGACCTAAAATTGTAATGACTACAAGGCACGTTCGCCATATAAAGCACATGTACACACACACACATACATTTACATATGTATGCATGCACATCCCTGCCCCGCAAAAGAGCTGCTCCGCCTCTGCCACGGACTCGGTGCGAGCGTGTGTCGAATGACGGCTGACTAAGTAGACTTCCGCTTTTCAATTAAGCTCACATATTGTTGCAAGGTGTTTTATGCACGATTTGCACGACAGCTCCTTTTATTAAATTGCCAACGTTGTGACCAGACAACAATAACAGCAACAACAACAATAACAATAACAACAACAACCAATCAACAACAAGGGCAAGATTAACAACAAACACTCAAGTGCAAAACGTCGACCAGCAAATTGACAATCGATTTGTTGTTGAGTCAAAAATAATAGGAATGCATTAGAAAGCACAGCGTATAATTTACATATACACACTGGTATATATTTATATATATACAGAAATAGTATACATATATAAGCATGCAAAATTGCCCCACCAATTTCAAGCCATAAGTTTTTGTCTAGTTTAAAAAACGATTTCCCATTGTGTAGCTTTAAATGCATGTCAGAAATGGGATTGTTATTATTATTTCAATTAAACTAGCTGGTGCTCTGAAACGTGCACTACTTGAGCATCTGTACAGCACTGTAAGAGTAGGACTCTGGGTGTGACTGGAACTCAGTTCCTGTACAACACTGTTAGAGTTGGACTCTGGGTGTGAATGTACGTCAATCGAGGACATATAGCTTAGAAGTCATTTTAAATTCCTTTGGGAATCATATGATTTAGCAGAACGATTTCAAGCGATCTTACAGTTATTTTCGCATAATATTACAGCTTGCTGGGACTTGTTTAAAGTATCTTAAAATGCAGAAAAGTATTCCATATGGATGCCTAATTTCGACCGACATTTTTTATAGAGCCATATGGTTAGTAGTTCAATAAGACTTTACTTACATGTAAATAGCATAGAAAACTTGTAATTCCCAAACATGCTAAGCATATCTTGATATACTAATAACTTAACTTGACCAAACCTTGCTAAGTATATAAAGCATCGCAGATATAAATATATATATATATTAGCGAGATACGTCTCTATGTTTGTATATACATATACACCCTCGTTTTTTTTATAAAAATCTACATCTGCTTAACATAGCACTGTCGTTTTTACCCCCCTCCTCATATATAAACGTAGCTAAGAGCGAATCCAGCTAGTTTCATTCGTGTTTTTGACTGCACGCATTTGTCAGCGTCGGGGCTGCAACGCCCGAAAGTAGGCAGCGGCACTTTTTTGGTTGGTCCTGTCACGTCCCCTGCACATTGATAAATTAGCCAAGCGCTCTGTGCATCTGTCCAAATGGGCGAAATGTTTCTCAAATACAGCTAGACAAACACGTATTTGAGCTTTAGGCGAGAGTGCACGACTATGCGACACCCTTTACCCGATATACATATATCCCGATTGGGGTCTGTCGAAGAACAATTTTCGATAAGCTTTATGTGCGAGAAGTAATATTTGAAATTTAATTTCTGTAGCTTTTTTGGTCTCTGAGATGGGTGCGATCTATGTATATATGCATCTTAAGCCTTCAGATAATTCATTCAACTGCACAGCCTTCAATGGGTTTAGAGCATATCCAAGCAAAGCTGGCTTTTAGCTGCATTCCAGTTGTAGGTCGAGTTGACGCCCAGGACGCAGATCGAAGGCGGGGTCCGTGTCCCGCTGGCATAGTTGTACAACTTTTTCCACTTGCCAGCTCTTATCTGGGCACATTTGTCATACAAATCGCTGATATAAATGTCCACTTCAGCAGCATCTTATGCTGTGAAATCTTAAGCTCCAGTTTCAGCTATCATCCGGACAGTGCTTGACTTAACTCGACTCGAGTGGGGGGATTCAAGTGCGCCTGCGACTTATGGGCTTTTTTTCCTTTTTTTATTTTTTGTTTAAAACCTATTTTCCATTTCATTTGTTACCCGTATCGCGTACCTGTCTGTCTCGGTAGATGTATCTGTCTCAGTATCTGTATCTGTCTCAGTATATGTATGTGTAACTATATCTGAGAATCTATCTGTGGGTGCAGGTTACTTTATCTTGTGTGTGTGTGTATCTGCATCTGTAATGCGTAATGTGTATTAATGTTGACTTATTTTTCATTTACTGCAGGATTTCGTTCAAGGACTTTCGATACTGTCGCGCGGCTCCGTGGAGGAGAAACTGCGCTGGACCTTCTCGCTATACGACATCAATGGCGACGGCTTCATTACGAGGGAAGAAATGACTGACATTGTGACTGCCATATACGAGCTAATGGGCCGACTGCCTGACGAATGCCCCGAGGAAGAAAAGATCAAGGGCAAGGTGGAGCAAATCTTTCAGGTGACTGCCCATACACAATGTTGTCCCATTGACAAAAAACGACCTGGCCTGCTTTCAACTTCAACTTCAGCTCAGCTCAGCTCTGCAGCACAATTCGCATTACTTATGTTAATTATGCAATTTCAATTTGCGCTCGCCTCAAACTGTCGGCTTATTTACTCTGCATTATGCAAATCAAATTATGTATTTTTCTTTTGTTGGCCATTTCGCCAGACAGCACAGAACAGCACAGAACAGAACAGGACATCACATTCGAATGGGTGCTCATACTGGGAAAGAGTCTGGACATAGTCGTCACGCGGTCTATCGTTATATTCTCTTTAGATTTCGTTGTCCACTGTCCTGGACGGTCCTGGACTTGCCTGTCCTCTGGTTCGTTTGGCTTGCGAGTCACGCATTGTCATTAGCGGCTGTGGTCCTGTTGAATGCCTCATTTTGCCCTCTATCCGGGCGGGGGACAAGGGAATGGGAGCAGGCTAGCCAACAGGACACAACTGAACCAGATATTTGTCATTATTATGTGCTTTAAGGCATCCTTAAATTAATGCTTAGTTTCTCAAGACAGTTAAGACCTGACTAAACAAACGGCTCTGTGTGAAAGCATCTTTAAATGCAGAAATTTAGTCTTTAGTTTGTTTTACAGCAGACATGTTGATAGATAGAAGCGAGCTCCTCGTTCAACTTGCTTTGCTGCCCGTTAAATTGGATAATTCAATTCATTGCTAATACAAAATACATTTATTTAATGCTCAACAGAAAATGGACATTAATCGCGACGGCGTTGTGACGCTGGAGGAGTTTTTGGAGGCGTGTCGAAATGATGATGCCATATCCAGATCTATGTCCGTCTTTGATACAGCATTCTGACCATATCCGACTGACAAGGGCGATGAGTATACGGTACGCAGACGGCGACGTAGCCGCAGTCAGCAGCAAAAACAAAAGCAACAACAACAACAGCAACAGCAGAAACAGCAACATCAACAACAACAGCAGCAGCAGCGACAGCACAAACAGCATCAACAAATGGAGCCAGAGAAACGTAAGTCAAACTACAAGATGAAACAACAACAACAAATGCAACAAACACATAGCACAAAACACCAGGCAACAGACAAGTGCTGTCATGTCATTGACATGGATGGCGCCAGCACAACAACAACAGCAACAACAACAACCACAGCAACAACAACAAACAACTGCACAAGCAACAAACATCAGAACAGCCACAGCCACAACAAATGCAAAACTAATCACAGGCCTCGCCGCGACTATGAACCAGAGCTTGAAGAAAATAAGGCGGAGTTTGAGTACGATGATGATGATGACAATGATGATGATGATGATGATGATGATAATGATAATGACAATGATGATGATTACGATGATGAGGATGGGCAGGAGCAGGAGCATGCTGATGATGCGGACTTGGATGAATATGAGAATGGCGAACAGCTGCTGCTGGGTCTGCCCCAGCGCAGTCAATCCATTTGCCGGCACTGCCTGCGGCCACAAATGGAGCTGCACTCACGCCAAATGCCAGGGCTGCGCCTGCGCAAGTCACAATCGAAAACACGTCAGCGCAAACGAAGCAAGAGCAGGCAACGGCATCATCCCCACCAGAATCCACAACTGGATGCCAACAGCAAGCCGCGTTGGCCGCAACTGAGCGTTGCCAACGAGCAGGCCATACGCTTTCGCTGTCCGCAGGTGGGCCCGCAGGTGGGTCGCGACCTGCATACACCACAGCCCATGCACTTCCATCATCCGCAGCAGCTCGGCCAGGCTAGTCAGTCGCCAAGTGTCCAGCCAGCGGCGGCGGCACCGCCCAAGCCAGCCAAGAGTAAAAACAAGCACAAACAGCGAAACAATCGCAAGCAGGTGCAGGGAGAAGCAGCTGCATCGTCATCAGCAGCAACTGCAACAGCAACAGCTGCAGCTGCGGCACCGCCAACAACAGTTGCTGCCGCAGCAACGCCCGAGTTGCTGCCAACGCCGTTGCCGCCCAATGGCGGCCATTCGGCAAGCCAAACCCTGGAAAGCAATGGGATTGCTGGTCATGCGAACACGGAGCTGCCCAACACGCCAGATTCACCATCTCTGGTGACGGTTAGCACCTGGTATACGGTTGCCAAGCAGGGCGTCTCCTGCTAATAGGCATTTACATATTAGTAGTTGTCAACTCCAGTTAACGCTCGCCGTCAGTGAGTACCTTTAACATCAGCCTGACTATTTACCCAGACTTTATGAGACTTGGGTTTCGTAATTGCATGAAGGTTCAAACAATAACCACAAACAACAAAACAAAAAAACCAAAAAACAAAACTTCCCTCTTTATGCTGAATTTCGCCAATGGATTTCGTCGCGGCGCCTAAAGGTATGCTATACGAAATAAGGTGAAATTGAGTAGAAAGAGATTTTGGCATATAGCTAATATAACAAAATAGAAGAGAACAACTCAAGTGTTTAAATTTATAAGATACACATTTAATGTACTGTAATTATAAACATGTGTGGTTATATTCGAGTACATATATTGTATGATGTTTTTTTTTCCTCTACCTAGACATATGGACAGCAAAAACTATAATAATAATAATAATAATAATAATAATAAAAAATTCACACATCGATCAGATTCAGGATCTGAGAAAACTCAAATCTATGTGTATGTTAAATTGATGTTGAAAAAAAATGTAAAATGTGTTATAGTGTTAAAAACTAAAGATAAACTCAAATGTATAACAGAATATAGCTACAATCTAACTAATTTTAATCAACCAAAAAAAATAAAATAAAAATCTTGAAACAAAAGAATAAAATTTAAAATCTGATCAAAATGTTGTTTATTTTTACTTTTCTTTTTATTTTAAATTCCCCACATCGGCGACAAGTTAAATACAAAAAAGTTGGAAAACAAAAAATAGTTTAAAAAAAAAAACAGAATTGACGTTAGCTGTGATGAAAATTAAAACTACTTTAAACTGTAAAACAAAAGTATAAAAAAAAAATAAATAAAGGAAAACAAGACCATGCTACTAGCAACTAGAAAATCAAAGGTGTACTAACTAATTAATAAACTAATGAATAAGGTCCGACAAATTGCTCAAAAGCCTAAATTAGAGAGCTCTAATTCATATATACATATGTCTTAAGGTGTCCTAGTGTGTGTTTATGTATGCATGTGTGCTGCCTGATATTTTATAATATTTCAATTATTTCCATTCTCTTTCAATATATTTTTTTAATTAATTTTATATTAAATGTTATTACAAATAATATTTAGAAATTTTTTAAGATACTGTGAATAGATATGTGAAATATTGTAGTGTGGTGTAATGCCCATAAAATGCATTTGGGTCATTCACATTTTCCTGGAAGCCTGTATGATGTAGACAAAATGAAAAGTATCTTTTCGTCTTAGCCAACACTAAGCGTTTCGATATTTTAAGGCATTTTGCTAAAAAAAAAATGTCCCTATTGAGCTGCAAAAATCAAAGAGCTCGTTTTCAAAACTGGAGACAAAGACTCGATTAGTGTCAAATTTTTAAAATTTCCTTTCTAAACATACAAGTGTAGGAACATGAAAATACTACACTCCACTCGTATACGCCCAAAAGGACGTTTACACTAGAACCAATAGAGCATCTAATTTATGCAGCCTTGCAGGCAACTGTGAATGCCCCAACTGATCTATTAAACTTTCTAAGTTAAAGCTAGTATATTTAAAATAAAAAGTGTGTGTTAAATATTGTCTACGGTTTGTAGATTAGCATTGTTATTACTCTGAAAGAGTTTATTTCCTGTAAATTAAACTAATTTTTTTTTGTGTTTTTAAAGAGAGCGAAGTTTGCATTAAATTGAGATTTTAAATAAATTTCAATACAGTTGTTATTAAACCAAACGCGCTCCTAATTTTGTCTATTTTGTCATCCATTAAGGCAGTTAAATTTAACAGTGTAGTACAGTGTAGCAAAGCGGACATGTTAATCGTGAAATCAAACTGTTTTCAAAGTCTATTTACTGTGCCCGCAACATTGGGAACAGTCCATTCAACAATAAATGTATATGTATGTATATGTGTGTTTGCATGTATGTATGTTTTATGTGTATATGATTTGTATTTGTTCAAATGTCGCTAGTCGCTAAGAGCAAAGAATTAAAGCTCGGCTGCGCATTGAGTGCTGGGAAAAGAACACAGAGAAAACAAAAACAAAAACAAAAATAATGGATGCAATTGCTCGTTACCTTTTGCTAACTGTTATTGCTATCTGTTTTGGTATTTTTTCTGATATGATTTGTTGTTGTTTTCTTTTGTGCTACACACACACGCACACACACGAGCACACGTACAAGCTGGTGTTGACATAGACGCATGAAATTGAAATTCTTGTATGCCAATTAAAATATGTGTTTTCTTTCTTTTTTCTCTTTCTCTTTCTATCTCTTTCATTTATTACCATTTATTCTGCCGTTGTGGCTGCTGCCCGTTGTTGTTGTTGCTGCTGCCTGCTGACTGCTTGATATGCTGCTGGCCCTAACACACACACACACACACACATGCAAGCACTCACAACAGAAATTTGCATAACAACAAACTGAAATATGAACAAAGACCTAAATGCGATTTTGAAACTGAACGCGAATTGTCAAACTACCTACGAAATGGCCATAAATATGCAATTATGGCCAAAAGTGTGGACGTGTTTATATTTGTCACTTGTGCCACACACACGCACATAAAAATACACACAGACGGACACACAAACAGAGAGAGAGGCACTGCAAAACCAGCTAAATATTCTCAATACACAATTTGCGTTAATTGCATAAACGCCAAGTTAATGGATTGCCATGCCGCTTGATCGCCCGGCATAAACCTATGCATATACAATTCACATGCGCCATTTTTAACAATATTTTTTTATTTTTTGGATTTGGCCCGCCGGGTGAGCCCACAAAAGTATGCAACATCATTTTTACCGACAACTGCATGCGTCGAGAGCACTGTAACCAAGTCTCTGCAGATCTTTCCCCTTACTGACTTGATTCAAAGAAAGCATAATCTCTACCAAACATAGCTTTCAGTTCACTTAAATATGATAAAACTAGCAAAGAGAAATGCTAAAACTTAGCATTTCATAGCTGAACCCAGAGAATTAGTTGAACATAACACTTGATCAGATAAATACAATACCTTAACCTTATGTCGTGTCAGCAATTGATAATTTGTGCTTTTAAAGTCACAATGCATTAATCTGAAATATTATTCTACAAGTTTTATTTGTTAACGAATTGATCAAAAGCGGGCTCAGCAAATAGGCAAACCTTAATGTTATTGGGGTTAAATGGATTTTTGTATTGCATGCAGCACATTTCAGTCAATAAAAACGAAAAGCGCATATATCATAATTCCGTATTTAATACAGCAATTTTTCTATTTTGTTGTTGTATTCTATTGTTGCTATTTAAATGCCAATTAACAACTTTAATAAAAGAATAAATAAACAGAAAAAAAACACTCAGACAAGATTCTTCAAGTCCATTTTGGCAAAGCTGCATAGACGGTGAATGCATGCATGACATATGTATATCTATATATACATACATATATACACATGTGTACATGTACACATTTGGACATGTACAATGTACTTATTGTGTTTTAAAGAATAAGCCAGATCTTGGTGAAACAAAAAGTAAAGCAAATCAAATTAAAATCAATGTTAAAAAAAAAAATCATAAATTGGACCAGCAAAACTATGCAAAATGTAGAAGAAATAAAAAAGAGAAAAAAACTAAGAAAAAGCAAATCAAATGCTTAGTTATAGTACTAACTATATTCATGACTAGATGAGAAAATGTGTAAATATACATTACAATATACAATAAATGTATGTTTGGAACAAATAATGCAATACAATTACAATATTTATCAAGTATATTGGTGTATTGTATTTTATAAGTAGACATAAGACACAGAATACACAAACAAACACACACACACACACAACTATTAGGCAATACAGTTTTAGCAAGAACAAGCATATACACACAATAGTTAAAAAACAGAAGAAAAAAATACCATGTAAATAGTTTATTTTATTAATTAGAAAGCAGCCCAAAAAGATCACTGAATTCTTAAACCTAAAGCAACATGAGCTGGAACTAGAACTGGAACTTCAGAGTATTACTTCACTTAGATCTGGTCTATCCCACTACACACTCACTTTCTGGTATGTGTATGTATATCTAAGTATATACACATATATATTTACTTAGCTGTAGTCTTCCAATAACAACAAGCAACAATTCTCAACAGATCTTCAATCTGCCTTGGCCCTAAGGGCTGAAGCAAGAGTTAGAACAAGAACCAAAAGAGAGAGTGCAAACAAATTTCCACACACACTTAGACAACCTGTAGCAAATTGGTACCTTAGCTGAAACAACCAAGAAAAAGCTTTCAACTTTACAACTAAATACTTACTTACATTCAAAAAACGAAACAAAAAAATTGACTTCACAAAGTGCAGTAGTTAGAACACAACCAGAAACCAAGATGATGAATAAACTAAAATTGATCACACACTAAACAAAAAAACGATGTCCAAACAAACAATAAATGTTGTCCTAATCAAATAAAAAAAATTATAAAAAAAAAAAAATATGGACGCATGTCCAAGATTTATAATGTCTAAAGAGAAAACAAAGAAAAAGTAGATAAACATTGTATTATTTTTAGATAAATGTTGCCAGAGTTTACGTCTTAAGCGTTGCAAATCGTGTGCATACCAACTGGTCTTTAGCTATCCAATGTGTTGACACTTAGAATTCTAAACTCCTTCACACCTTAAACTAACTAACCTATTGAGCATAACGTGTGCTTAACTTATATCAATCTATAGGAATAATACTACTTAAATCTATCAAATTGAATTAGCTAATACTTCACTTCTATGAACTACTATTGGTTTCTTGTTACTTATTAATCTACTCAAGTGAGTTAAACACAAACTTAGGCAATTTAACAATAAATGCATCTACCTTTAGTTTGTACTAAATGATGCACACAAAATGACCCCAAGTATACACCTCCAAACAGTACGCACCTATAAGCGGATCACGACAATATATATGCCAACTGTTGAATGTAACCCACACAATGCCAAGCAAATCAGAACGATATTCACCCACGTTTAAACTCTGACCCACCCAAGCAAAGCTACATACATTCAAGATTCTCTCTCTCTCGCGCGAACGAAAATAATAATAATGATTGTTATTCTTAGCGACCTTTCTATTTAATTCGTGAACGCTGGCTGACTGGAAGTCAAGTGTTGGCATAATTAATAGTGTGAATTATTTTAGTTAATTGCCAGTATTTGTCTATCGAATGCTTTTGAAGTTGTCTTCATGGGTGTACCACAAAACAATATATCATATCTGTATAAAAGACAGTTTGTTCCGACTGACAGTTACATATTCTCTTTTTCATTTGATTTATTAACTATTATTGTCTCACATGTAACATACTCATGTACTCTTCCGAAAATGAGTGGGTCAAGACGTTCAAATGAAGTTTCAGGATCGAACTCCTGTAAGACAGTATATGGGATTTTAATTTGAATCCGATTTTATTTGATGAAATCTTCTATCTACAAATCAAACATCGAATAATGCTTTAAGTGAAAGTTTGGGCTACTTGCTTATGCTCTTTATAGCACTTCACTTTCAGTCGGTCCATGACTTCGTATTACCTAGTCCAAAATTACACAGGCAGAATCAGATTAAGAACCTTTAGTAAGTCTTGTGTGTTGCCCCAAAACGTCTGAAAAGCAGTCCGGATATCGTGGCATTGCTTTTGACTCCAATAACTAACATCCAGGTCAGTCAGCATTCGGAAATACTTAAACACTAATACTAGCAATAATAATACATAGCAAACAAACCAGAAGACATATAAATAACTACGTTTATACAGTGGCTCATATCACGGTATTCAATCAGAGAAATTTATCTTGATTAACCCTCTATACAATATAGTCGGCAATGCGGTGTGAGACAGTTGATATGATACGATTTTTAAACAGCAACTATGCATTCATTCTATACGGGATTATGCAATCCAATAAAACTTTTAACTAATACAAAGAAATGAAAAACAAAAGGCAGCAAGAGAAAACCCGCATTCAAAAATATTACAATAAGAGTTCTTTAAAAGGAAGTTTTCTGAAGGCTTGCAAAGAACCGTCTCTATATAAAGCATAGAGTTTAGTGAAGTTGTGGGAGATATTAAACCAATTATAAAGTGTCAAATTTAAACAAAAATTGGACTAGTGGCATGTTCAACAAATACACATACAGTTTACTGAACGGAAACACGTTGCATGCCACATTTATTTTCCAGGCCTAAGCCTTATCAAATCAATAATTGAAAGAGTGTTACACATAAATGTATATAGACTATCTATGTATTCATGTTTTTTTTTTTTTTTTGTGTTTTTTTCTAAATCTAAATGATATAAACTGTTAAAATACAATTTTACAAAAGTTTTTAAAATTGGTCAGTAGAGCATAAAAATACTTAACGAGCCAATGAACAAAACAAAAGAAAACAAACTAATGTGAATAAAAAGTCTCGTTTTAGAGAATTTTTAATTAGTTTTGTTAAAATTTATTTTCCTAATAGTTTTTTTTATTGCTGTTATTGTTGTTGTTCTGTTTAAATATAGAACTGGAAACAAACATGGTACCAAAACTTAATTTAAAAACCGTAATTAAATAATTAAATATTATATTAAATGTATATTTTTTGCTTTGTGAATTACTAACGAAATAATAACTAAGAGAATAGTGTGGAAAAAAATACATGTCATAGCATTAGATTAAGTACAATTAATTGTATTCAATATTTCAGTGTGACTTAAATGAAATAAGCAGAACCGCAATGTCATGCAGACTAGTTAATTGCGAAAGAGAACTCATTAGTTTAAATATAGCATGCAAAGTGGGCCGCCGCATTCTCTGTTCAATGATATATCAAAATAAAAAATTGAAAAAAACAAAATCGGAAGAACTCAAAGGAACGAGAACCCACACAAGATATTGCAAAAAGATGTAGTCTTTTATCGAAGCGATTAAAAACAAAATGATTATCGAGAACAGAAATTAAAGTATTATGAATGTAAGTATATCAATGTAAAAGATCGCTTACTTTCTTCATAGGATTGGGAGTTCTACAAGAATGAAGCGGCACAGTTCGAACTCAAAAAGTAAAAACCAAAAAGAGCAGAAAATAAATAATAATAAATACCAATTAAAGGTAAACATAATTGCGAAATTGAAAATTACGAATATATTCTAGTTGTAATGCATAGCTGATCTTTTTTGGTGTACTTTTAAATGAAAAACTTTCCATGAAATGAAAAACAAAAACAAAAAAAAACAAAAACAAAAACTGTTTTAAAACTATAAACCAATTTGTTTAAATCCAGCTGCATGACCAAAGATGCAAACCAAAAACAAAACAAAACAGATGTTAAGGAAAGAGTATACAAATATTTAACTAAACCATAATACAAAAGAGAAAAACATTTTTTTTTTTGTAAAGTTAAAATATGCATATAAAAAGTGTGTATGGAAAATAAATGCGTAATAAAATTATGAAACGAGAATTGATGTCTTATTCAAACAAAATTTTAGGGTTTGCTGTAATTAAAAAATATATATTTGTAATTAGTTTCCAATCTTGTGATGGTAAAGCGAGCTCTGTTCTTACGAGCAGGTGAATTTGTAAGGCTGAGGTCGCAGTATGTCTGCTGTGCTGGGCGCGTGACACGAGCCTAGGCGACAGAACACGACCCAACACGGCTCAATATTTCTATTTATCAAACTGTTTGTCCTGACTGACAGACTGACTGATTGACTAACTCATTGGAAGCTAAAATTATCACTGTAGTTACCTTATGTGATGAAGGTGCACGTTAAGACGGGGTTTCGGGAAAAGATCTTTACGCGATAGTGTATTTATAAATAAGGATGTGTGTCTTGACTGACTAATTGATTGAATGACCGATTGAATGACTTACTGATTGAATGACAGACTTATTGACTGATTAACTGATTGTATGACCGATTGACTGGTGATTAACGCTCCGCCAGCTAGGAAGATAAAATGTTTACTGTAAAACGAAAAAGTTTCACCTGCAACTGTGAGAAATTGGTGGAAAATTGCAATATTTTCTGATTACCATCCGATCGGCTGCCAATTTCTTTTAAAGATATTTCTATATCATCTTTATAAAAGATCTGTTAAATTTTGATGACTTTTGTTTTTTTTTTTTCTTTTTGAAAAGGATATATGTATATATATTCCGACAAAATTTCACCTGCAACCGTCGAAAATGAGTGGAAAGCTGGTGTATGGTATTTCCTGATTACCAACCGATCCGTTTTGAATTCAATTTCTAAGGTATTTATAAAAACTCTTCTAAACTTTTATCATTCTTGTTTTTATTGTAGAATAAATATTAAATATAAATACATATATATACCATTTCCTATCATGGTCAAATTGTCGACAGTGGTGGCAAACACTTGTGGTTCATGTTTGCGTTCAAATCGTTCCCATTGTTTTATAAAAATACAACATGCGTCCATATCTGTTAGGGAATGCGATAAAAATTCTGATTGCATTTTCCAAAGCTTTGCCATCTACGATAATTCCGACGTAATGCGCTTAAATGCGCCTATTAACGACGGGTCGAAGTGCCGCGGGCTTGTGGCAGTGGGGAGCGGGCCAGTTGAGTGGCCATTGGGTTTTGTACGAATGCAAATGTTGTTTGGCTGTTTACGCCGCATTGTGCACTTTAACATGGCTCGTTGGGCCACAAAGTTGGCACCAAAGTTTTACTGCATGTAAATTAGACGAATGCAACAGCGCAGCAAATGAGCTGGAAGCGAGCGGGTGAGACGAAGACTAAACCTAAATGTGCAGCAGTTTCGTTGCGCAGCTTGCCTAGTAAAACAAGTCGAGTTGGACTCATTGAAAGTTTGAACAAATACAGAATGGATCGATTAGTTCTTAAAAAGAGGGAAAATATATAATGATGGGTCGAAAATTAAGTTATTTCATATTCAATTTTGTTTGGTTTTACAAATAAGCAAGCTTAAGCTTGTCATTTACAAGTTGAACTATGATCCTCATATGTAAGCAAAAGACAATCATATATATCATACACAATATCTTACAACGTTATAAAAATAATCAGTCGAAAAATTAGTTATGAAAACTGGAAAATGTTTCTATTTACACAAAGAAAACTTGACCAAGGTCAGCAGCTATAAATGTTTCACATGTCTGTAAAAGCCGATCAAATTGGATAGCAGTATAGGAACAATCAGTCGACAATAAAGCATCTATATAAGCGCACTAAAAGCTATATGTCCACATTTAATCTTGGGCATGTCGAAGATAGTCGTTTATTATTGCTATAAATATTAATTTATTAATAAAAACATATAACTTTAAACTCCCTGAGAAATGCTTGATTCCGAAAGATCAATAAATTAATGCGGGAGCTATCATAATAATAAATATTATTAAAATCGACCCACATTTATTCACATTTGCTGAACAGTATGCCACAATTTGATTGCAACACTTGCCCCATAAGACATGTGCGTGTCTGTTGCGTAACTGATCTGCCAAAGTATATACCTGACCTCACAGAGCAGACGCACAATCGACCTAGAGACCGCCACGTTTCACATGTGCCAAATTAATGCGGTTAAACACATGCCCGGATAAAGATTTTCATATCCGTTTCCATTTCTATTTAGCCTGGCACGCACCACATGCGATTCGCAGGCAGTGGGAAAAAGTTTTAGAAGAGCGGCCAATTCGATAACAAGTTGCCTGTTAACCCAAAAACGACAAGGAAACTCGCTTAATTGTTTCATGAGCTAGCAACTGGGGGCGGCAACGCCCAACTGACCGAGCCGGGCAGCCTGCTTAACTCTGCTTATTGTAATCGTTAATTAAATCACGTTGTTGCACAAATTAAGTTATTGACAGCATAAGTGCTGTCCCCTTTAAACCCCCCCTCCCCCCTCCCGGGCAACTACTATGCTCTTAATGCGAAACGTGGCTAATTGCTAAATACGTGTGCGGGAATATGGTTTGCGTGTGTGCGCGTGTCTGTGTGTGCGTGTATGTCACCTGTAAGCCGTGTCACGTACATTCTGTTTAATAAAAGATTACACTCTTAACACATCCATGTAGCCAAGTGTAGTTTACAATAAAAACAAATTCAACGAACACAAGAGACATACACCAACACCGGAGGCCATCGAATTGGCGACAACATTGCCATCGATGCCAAAATAAAGAGAAAAAAAAACGTTGTCTCGGCCGGGCGAACACAGGCGTTGCCAAAGGAGTTATCCAGAAAACGAATCGTGACGGTGCCAAATGCGGTCATAACAAGAGGTGTCCAGACGAAGGTGCCCGACTAGCAGCTACCCTGTACCCATGTTGTCTTCACAAATGCTCCAAGTTTCTTCTATATATGTTTGCATAAAAATAAAAAATAAAACAAATATAAAAATAAATAAAAATAATTAAAAATAAAAGTAAATAAAATAAAAACTAAATAAAATAATAATAGATAAATGAAAAATAAATGAAATAAAAATTAATAAAACAAAAATATATAAAATTTTATATAAAAATATATATAAAATGTGTACAAATATATTAAATAAATAAATATAAAAAAAAAGCTGAGCCTGTGCTTTTTCATGTACTATACGTTATGGGACTATTCCATGGAAAATGCATTCTCAAATAACTTAGTTGCTTTAGGTCCCATCTTTATAAAATTTACTGGACTTAAATATGGCATAAAAAAAAAACACAGAAAATTCCTTCTTGTATCTTTGGTATTTATCAAAGGGCACCACAATTGATTCAAAAAGGAATTTTTTTTCATTAAAGGTGAAAAGTGGGGAGATGAACAAAATGTAAGATATGTTCAAAGAGAACCTAGATGCAATACCAAATCTTCGAGATTTGAAAACCCTTCATTCAAAATTGATATTTATCGAAACTCGGGGAATGGGGAAATGACAAATTTGCTCTTTATACGACAAAAGGGAATAATCATTTTAAATAAAAAGCCTCTAGCTTGACGCGTTCCAAATCTCCTTCTCCTTGTCAGGATTAAATATACAATTTATGGGGTTGCACATGCTTTGTCCTTGCACAAAACCAGCATACCCTTTTTAACGCACTTCCATTGATTACAGGGTATAAAAACAATTTCCTTGCGCCCACTATCCCACTTGCAATTCTCAAAAAGGTAAAACGATTTTCCACTACACTTTTAAGCAGCTTCACAGAAAATTGTAAGACAGATATAGAAAACATTTGATAATGGTTTAGTCGCTGGTCAAACTTTCCGGGAGAGTGAGACAGATACCGATTTTGCCAGTTAGCATTGAAATGTAAAGTCTCCGAAATGCACCTTAAGCCAAATAGTATACATAGATATAAAGCGTTTAAAATCCACTTGGATATCGACTTTACAAGCTGCGCAATATCAGTTTTTGTTTTGTTTGCTCGCTGGCAAAAAGAAGAACTCATGGGAATCCAATAAATATTTTCATTTTCCTTTTGTTTCGATTGCATTTAAATGCTAGCAATCAGCAAAAAATACAAAAACTGCAGCTTGAATCTTTTCGACTTCTCGGAACAGTTCATTTGGTCTGAATGGCAATGGACACGAGCTAAATCTGTTTGCAGCCTTTAATAGCCATGGCATCCTTTAGGGTGCCATTCGTGCTGTCATCAGCTGTTGGCTGCGGTTTTTCTCTCAATCCTTTTTGGTCAAATGTGCATAAATATTTATGGGATTAACCAACTGTTGGCGTAAATATTTAGGCGATTAAAGTAGATTGTTTTGTTTTGCGGGCTTAAACAAATTTGTTGTGGATAAAATTCAATAAGCCATAAAGGCCATTAAAGGTCTGCTGCATCATAATGGTCGCAGGTGCAGTGTGCAGAGTGCGCGAATAAGAAGCACACTTGTTCCTTGGAATATCAAGAAAAATGAAGAAGAAGATTCAGAAAATGTTCCTATTAAATTCATTAAATATATATTTAAAGTTTCCTTTTATAATATGTTTAACTTTATGTTTAAATTCTGTTTAAGTGATTCAAGTAAAGCGAAAGTTGGGAGAGCAAGAGCAGTCTCTTGAGAGCGTAAAATTTCTCGTGTCCTGTTGTAACGTATTCGTAAACTTTTTAGAGGTTGGCAAATGTAAGCAAAAAGCAATAAAAATACCATATAATAAGTACACAAAATTAGTTTCTGTAAACATGGCTCTCTAACCTAGACACACGACTAATAAATGCTGTAAGCACGTGAACAAGCTGTATCTATGTAAGCACTTAAGCATATACATATAACCGGACAACGTCAAATCCGTAAGTAAAATGAGATGCATTGCCTGAAGACCCTTCACCCATTGACAGGGATTTGTAATCACAACCTGTGCTCACGGCTCGACATAATGGCATTCTCATGTGCCCATCAACGGTAATACCCACAGCTACAACTGGATGTCCGTGTGTAACTCTGATTTGATATTGGCCTGGACATCTGCGGTGGTTAGCTTCGTGCCGAGCGTGTGTTTCTTGGCCCAAAAAGTGTTCGATTACGAGCCACAAGAATTCAATTTTTCTTGCCAGCTGACATGTGAAGCGGCCCGCCAGCCAGCCAGCCAGCATTCGCGTCTTAAATATGTGTGTATGGTGTGTATGTGTGTTTATAGTTATTTTCATTTCACCATCATCTAAATTCGATTCAAAGAAATCAATAAGTCTGTGTGACACTTGTGTCACATTTGTGTCGAAATTTGTGGCGTTAATGCGTACAGTTTATGGCTTCTGGTGAGGCTTCTGCTTGTTGTTGCTGTTGTTGCCATAATGTCCGTATTTATTACGTATACGCTCGACATTGTTTATGTCTGAAGGGGCATTTGTGTTAAATAGATACAGACATTTTTGGCATTCACATTGATTTGAGGCGCCCGCCAGAAATGAAGACATAAAAACTTATGAAAACCCCCGCCACAAATGGCAAAAAAAAATAACAGCAATAACAACAACAAGCGACTGTCATCAGTTTTGGCAGTTCCTGTTGTTTTAGCCGAATATTGAATGTTCATTAAATCTATTGGGCGCCACAAGCGTGACACGAGAGAAAGACAAAACGCTCGCATCTAGCTTGACGGTCAACTTCAATGATAGAGAAAGAGTGAGAGAGAGAGAATATGAAGATAGCAGAGAAAGTACGAAATACCAAATAGATTGACATTTATGTAAGTATGGAAAACTATTCAAGAACTTGACTATGTTTTCATATTAGATAAAATGAGATTCCAGTGTGACAAACTTATTTGAATAGACAGGCAGCATTCCTGGCTAACATTCCCCAGACGACAGTTTGTCATTTGTTTGGGTCGTTTTATTGTTTTCTCGAATAACTATGCAGCAGAGTAATTCTATTCTCTTGAATGCTGGCTGTTTAATTATGCTTTATTTCAGGCAAACAACAAACTAGATTTATATACCTTAATTTAAATTAAATTCCATTGAACGACTTACAATGAGCGACTTAACCAAGTGCCTGAAGCTCTCCCATTTATCGTGGAGTCTGTTAATTGGTTTCTTAACAAAAGCGTTTTAATTACGATAAAATAAAGAAGCTTATAAACTTTTTCTTTTAATTGAACAACAATATAAACCGAACATGCAATTGCACTTAATTGTTTTCCATGAGCCGCAGCATAAACCATATTCAACCGAACCTTAACATATAAGTTTCCAAAAACTGTTTGTTTCTTAGGATTTGTATTTTTCCTAATAAGATTTGGTGAACTTTTCTTTATATTTTGATGACACTTTTGATTTGGCTAGATCTAGGTCTTTGGGGTTTTTGTGCTTTTATTAAAACACAATTTACCACAAATTTTGTAACAAAATATATTTCGACTCACCTCAAGAATCGTCATCAGGAAGGAGCCAGCATCAGGCTTGTCAGCTGTGGAGTTTACAAATTTTCATTTTAGCATTTTATTGAATTAACGATAGTTTCAATAGTAAATCTAATAATATTTGCATTAATTTAATTTATAATAAACTAAATTAATACATGGAAAATTTTAAAGAAATATATATCGATTCAAACTAAAACCTGACTTCACACATGTAAAAAAGCAGGTACACGAATCGAACCACTGGTACTGGTTCAAACCATAGGCCGAACCACTGAAAAATATCATTCGTTTTTATATCTAGGTTGTGAACGAAGCTCACCATTTTTTTGTAAATTTACATTTCCTATTGAATATTTGACACATAGCTCTATATAGTTTTATTGAATGCGTATCGTCAGCCGTTTATTTTTTGCATTTGCCTCATGCCAATGCTAAGCGAATTTCTTAAGGTATTTTCTAATAATTGCCCTTAATAAAGAAGAACACAAGACACTATCAACGTACTAGATTTTTAAACATTTTTTGAACTCAAGCAACTTTTTGACCCCTATAACAAAGTCCGCGGCCATGGCCAACTGAAGCATTTCCCTGGTTTTGTCCACAGAGCAAGCGCATTAAAGACAGCAAATAAGCCAAGTCGCTGGGATCTGTGCTGTGTTTGCTCAAATCTGCATAATGTGGTGGCAGAGCATTATGCTCCATGGGCGGTAGACGCCACCCAGACCCCACATTCTGTCACGCTTTAGCCCGTTTAGCTGGCCACCCTTGAAGCGCGACGCGCTGAGCGCTGCAGCTGAGCAACTTTTGCTATTCTTTTTAATCACTTAATAAAACGCGGCAACATCATCAACAGCAAATTCATTTGGGTGTTCAGCTTGCCGAGGCTTTTGTTTATGCCAGCGACGACGACGACGACAACGACAACAACAACAACAACTGCAGCTAGTGGAGACAAGCAGTGCGTACCAACAATTAAGTCGCATTTGTGCTAAACTTTTGGATTTCGAAAATATGTTAAGACTTTTGTTCAACTTGTCCGGTTGCAAAACTTTTAAGCCCCCATCCCTACCCCTACACCTACCCCAACAACATGCTTGCGGCAAAGTGGCGTTATCATGCAGCACAGCTGCGTAGGGACGCCAAGGCTGGGTAGGGGCGTTCGGGGTCAGGTCTGTGTGCCTGGGGGTTATTTGCTGGCGTTGACTCTTAAAGGCGTCGCTGTTGCAGTTGCATTTCATTTGCCACACAGCAGCAGCAGCCCCAAATGGCTGCCCTCAATAAAGTTGTACATATGAATTTAGCGACTTTGCCAACATGCGCCCCAAGCACTGAGTCAACATTTATGACATTTCTTATGCTCACTTCACCCTGCCAAGCAACCCAGCCAGTCAGTCAGTGGCAGCCCTGGCCATGCATAGATGCTGCTTTTGCAAAAACTTTTCAATTGCATTTAAACTTTGTCTAGCGTAATTTGGCAACGCCCATGCCCATATACCCTACATGGCCTCTGGCCATGTCCTGTTCGCCTTGCATTTTCCCCATTGCCTTTCAGTTGGTTGCGTGCCACGCTTTATTCACGCTGCGTTTGCTTTGTTTCGTCTGCTTTTGCTTTTTATGATTATTAAATTTGTCAGTTTTTTTTTCTCAGCGTGTGTGTATGTGGCTGTGTGTGTGGGGGAGTTTTGTTCTGTTATCAGTTGCCGTAGATTCCATTTACCACACATACACAAAACAAAAAAAAAAAACAAAAAACGAACTAAGATGTGGCTTTCACAAAGTTGCACGTTTCGTATCGAAGAAAAAGAACAGATGGAAAACCTCTTCTTTGTGCAAAGAATTTAGATAGGTTTAACTTCTTTCTTACAGTTAGTCGTAAGCTCCGAGGAATCATATCTTAGGCTATATTCTATAAAGTCAGAAATTATACAAATATGCATGTCTCATGAAATATTAAAATTTTAGTTTTATTTTTTATTTTAACTAAATAAGAAGTAACATTGCACTTTGACTACGAACCTCAAAAGATGTTAAATTTAAAAATGAAACTAATAAATAAATATAATGTTGTGCTTCTTACAAAAAAATAATCTCAGAGTATCACGCAGTAACTATGTTTTTCTTGCACTACGTAAGTTGCAAAAGTTTTAATAGCTACTAAAAAATGTGTAAATAGCCTTATTAGAGTTACGAAAATGTGCATCAATCAGAAGAAATTATCTGCTATGCTATAAATTATACATGCTAATGATGAGTATTCGCAGGTTCTGTAAATCAACGAGCGACTGTTTATTGTGTTAGATTGTGTTAGATTAAGTGATTATATGTAATAAGACGTACTTAAGCTACGCCACTGAAAACTCTAAAACAGGCAAATAAAATTTTTAATATTTAGTCCAGGTAAGTTTTACCCAAAAATTCCCAAACATACGGTGGAAATTTAATTGCAATTAAAGAGAGACAAAGGGAAAGCGTAAATAACAGTCAGAGTACGAAAAGCGATAAAATGTATAAGAATGCCGACACAACTTGTGAATATAACAAACATAATCAAAGAATGAATTCATAAAATCAGACTCGAAATCATGAGAACTGCATAGAAGGGCACGAATTAAATTCAAGAGAATCGCATAGAAGGTATTTATATTTAAAAACTTTGTTGGCATTTAAAAAAATTGGAAAAATGTGACAGACTGGCGTTTAAAATTTAAATAAATAAAAAAACAATATGAAAGCGTTATATCCTACAGTTTGGCTAGTACATATCTGTGTGCACTTAGGCCACACTTTATTTGACAAGCGCACAGAGAGTTTCGAGTATAGGGGCAAAAATGAAAAACAGCGTCTAATTGAGCAATCAGTCAGTCAGTGGTCCTTAACGGCATCGAAAAGCAACTGCAGCTGCAAATTGAAATAGCAAAATGCCAAATTGCTGCCAATAATTATGTTTAATAACAAGGCGATGAGCGTTCTGCAGATAATGATAACGACTTGGACGTGACCAGCCGGAGGGAAACACAGAAATGGAGGCGGTACGAATCACGGCCTTGGGCGACAACAAAGAATGCTGGCATGAGGATTGCAGCTACAATCCCAATTGCATTGTCGTCTGTCTATCTGCCCGTCTGCTGTCTATGGATGTGGCAGAGTGTCGCTAACGCTGTTCGCTTTGGCTTTGGCTCTGGTAGGCCAGGTAATGACTAACGACCCAGCGAGCCAGGAAGCCAGCCATACCTGTGGCAGCGACACCGGCGCCCGGCACAGGAAACACAGCGCCATAATAGCTACAACTATGGCCGCCTCGCACAATGGAACGGAAGTGAAGCTCGGCGAGCAGTCAACGGATTCGTAACCGTTGTCATAATCACGAGGCCTGACTATCTGCCAAAAGTACACTGGCATTATTAACACCAGGCACGCCGCGCCGCGTCGACAGTCAAGGGCACAAAAATGTTGCAGCTTATTTAAATGGGCAATTGGTATTGAATGCGCTGAGGCGCATTCAATGCCAGATTGATCTCGTTAGGGGGGTGGGCTACGCCTTCATAGTATGACATACTAGCGTGTCCCTAATAGGCGCCGTGAGCCATTCATTTAGCAGCTGAGCGTACATAATTATGGCACATTATCCATACGAATAATAGACAAATGGGTAGCTAAACAATTTGTGTGACAAAAACACGCTGGACACAACATTTGCTGCCCCTCACTCGCTTAGCTTCGCTGTCGCTCTCAATCTTACTCTCTCTGCCACTCCCACGCCCACTCTTACTCTCTCAGTCACAGTTCTTGTGTATGGCTTAAATTTATGCGCATATGTTAAACATAACTCACAACTCATAACTTACAAAAATATGCAATCAAAATACATTAAAGCAGCTTAATAGACGTGCCACATGGGCTCTGGCCGACCACAGGCTGTACAGGCTGATTCATGGACGTAACAGCCGGCCAAAGGATAACTGCGCTTTAATACGAACGCTTTTTCAGTACAGCGCATCGAAAATAATCTCTTTATGAGCTGCTGTCGTCCTCCTATATCCTTCAGGTTTTGTTTAAGTTTTTCATTTAATATCCCCAGAAGCAAAGGGATTTAGAGGGCACGACTGCGGTACACTCTGTTCATAGTGTGAATATCATTTTAATGAATCGAGAAGAGTTAGAAGTTAAGCTGTGACGTCAGAAAACATCAATATTTGTAATTTATGGGCCGAGTGTGGGCATGGCATCAACATTTTTGGGTCAATCCTTAGAGGAAGTCATGAATGAATGAATTTTAAATTTAATATTTCAAATATCGCCTTACTACGCGATTCTCATGAATTCAAGTAAGCTCAGCAGGGTTTCAAACTTTGATTTTATAAGTACTAAACATATTTGTAAGGGAATTCACGAATTTTACTCACTTACTTACTACATATACAAAATAGTTGGTCTTAAGTGACTGATTGACTAACTAACTGACTGACTGACTTACTGACTGATTGGTGGGCAATGCATAACCCAAACCGTTTTAACACGAGAACTGAGTTAGCTTGTATGATAAGCTATTAATACGTGAGCTCTTTCCGTGTGCACACTCAATAAAAACTTAGGTTATAGTCTACACACTTATATTAAACTAAATTTTGTATATCAGTGTATGCGTGTGTTAATCTGTGTGCTGCGAGTGTATATGTGCGAACATTAATAAAATGTTTCAATAGCACAGCACGTAAAGTTTGAATGTCAAAGAACACAAAACCCATGGGCTCCAAATGCCGCCCAAGAAACAAAAACTGGGCCTGCTAAACGTGACAAAACACGGCACACCTACAAAACCTTTCCACCAAGCACACATACACAGATATGCATATTTGAACGAAGATACTCGTACTGAAGGGTGCACAGCCTGTACATATAGAAAAACGGTAGAAAAACAACAACGACAAAATAACAATATTATTGTAAGGCAGCAAAGCAAAAAATTCACTTAGTTGGAGCTAATAAATGTCAACGATAATGTTGGACATTATATATGCACACATACATGCTCATATAAACACAC